CAGAACACACAGGGGAGATGGGCCTCCAAGATAAGCTCTCACGACAGCGCTGACACGGTCACCGTGTCCTGCTGCACCTTCTCAGGAGGCCTGACCTGAAGTGCTCCGAAGCAGCTGTCACATCGGCAAGAGGAAGGGGAGCAAGGAACAAAGGAGGGGTGCTGGGCCCCCAGAGAGCTCAGAGCAAAACTCAGTAGGGACAGACACGCCTGAGCCACCTGCAGAAGCCAACAGCTCAGGACCAGGAGGGACAGCCCAGCAGTGGGGGGAGCCACACCGTCATCCACTGTTTTCAACCAGATGTCCACAGGGCACTGGCTTCCAGGAAGAGGATGGAGACCTGGCCACAGTTAGGGATGGGGAGGAGCAAGGTGCCAAGCCAGCAGCTGTCTGTGGGGCAGTCAACCCTGGTGCCCGAGGGAGGCCTGGGCACCACCTCTGGAAGCACGGAGAACTGGCCTCTCCCCAAAGGTTTAATGTGTTGACTTGGGAGGGACAGCTGGAGGAACAGGAGATGTTCAGCCCAATAAAAGACAATTCGGCAAAAGCTACAGGAAACATGTCTTTAAATATTTAAAAAGATTTCTGAGCAAAAGACAAAGCAGCCTGCTTTCAAGCTGTCTACACATGCAAACTCGGGTACTCCTCACAAACACCCCGTGAGGCAGGTGCACTAATGTCATTGCTCCCATTTTACAGAAGGAGGCATAGAGAGGCTAGGATACTGGTTAAGGTTACACAGCAAATAAGTGGAAAAAACAGGATCCATGTTTTAGCTGTCTGACTCCAGAAATACAACATGTGACAATAAATCCCTGAGATCCAGGTAAGGAAACCAAGGCACAGAAAGGGTGAGGTGCTTGACCAAAGCCAGACAGCAACTGGGGAGCCAGGATGATGGTTCCAGAGTGCCACACTTAGCTGCCTGGCAACTGCCCCTCACGTGGCCTCATTTGCCATGTCGCTCCCCGACCCTGGTGTGTGAACAAGGAGGTACGGGGTGTCACACACACTGTGCTGTGCTGAGTCAGCAATACCGGCTTGTTTATGTAATGTGAGATCTGCTGACTGAAGGAAACCAGTGCCCACAGAGGGGCCAACGATACGGATCAGGTGATCTTCTCTGAGCCACTGACCCTCCACCGAGCCAGGGACAGTCAATGTTGAAAGGCTTTGAAAGTCCCAGGAAGTCAAGGGCCTGTGTTCCTACACCAAGACCAGAGAGATGGGCAGGGAAGGGCCCCTGTGTGTCAGCAGCACCATTAACTGAGCGTTTACTATGTGCTTGGCCTCTCCTGGGTGCCCTTTCAGTCCCCTGGAGCAATGGCCCCAGCACAGAGCTCCCTAAGTGTTGGATGATGGAGTAAATGGGTCCTCCGTAGGACCCAGCAGGCAGGGGCGACCACCCCCATCCTACTGAACAGGAAACTGAAGGTCCAGGAAGGCTGTGACGTAAGAGGGGCCACAGAGACAGGTGCCGCTCGGGCCTGGAACTCAGGGCTCCCCCCTGCAAACCCAAACCCCTAACTTCCACACCCACTGGCCAGGACCAGGACCGAGGTGTGTAAGGACTTCCTCAGCAGGAATGTCTCTGGCAACGGGGACATTGCCAGTGGCTATGTGGCTCGAGTGAGGACAGGACCCCAGTGAGGCACAGGCCTTGTGGCCACACTGCTCTGTCGTATCTGAGCCCTGCAGGCCTCAGTGTGGCAGGCTGCCTCCTCCAGGAGCCAACTCTGAAACAAGGACTGGGGTGCAACCAGTCTGTCAGGAAAATGACCCCAGCAGGCACCCGTAAGGGAGTGGGAGAGAGAGACAGGGAGGAAGCCTGAGGGGACATGAATGACCAGGTCACCTTCATGGGCAACTGGGGCTCAACCCTGCTTGGGGTCACTGCGGGGTGGCAGAGAACGCCACTCTCAGAGACGTGCACAGCAGGAAGCAAAGGCGTGGAAGGGGACAGGATCCCAACAGGGAAGGCCACCAGGCTCCTCTGACCAGGAGTCTGCAGACCATGCCTGCCATGAGGTGGAGCAGGTCAGGCGGAGTAGCGGGCTCTGGGCTCGAGCCCCCCAGCAGCTGGGGTTGACAGAGCGCCACTGACGGAAGCTCAGAAATGAAACCAGGAGGACGAGCTCCCGGAGAGGCTGTCACCAGGGTCACCCGAAGGAGAATGGAGGCCACTGATGGAGCAGTCAGCTTGGTCCCCAAAAGAGAGAAGGCGAGGGGCGAGGTGGGCTGGGGTTAGGAATTGTCATGGGCTTTTCCTGTGTGAGCACTTGCACCTGCAGGGAGCAGCCATCAGCCAGTCAGTTGAGAGCCATAGGTCACCTCTCCCCTCGGGCGGTTGCATCCTGCACCTTCATCTTCGATGACAGGAGGGGTCGCTGCAGCTGCTAAGAGAGGACAGGGTGGGGTAAAGAAAACACTAACATACAGCGCCAGCTTCAGGGCCCCAGGACGGAGCTGTCTTCAGCCCTATGACAGTCCCTCTCTCCCTAGTTCATCACTGACCGCACTAAGGCAAAAGCACCCTGGCTTTAGGGTCACACCTGTTTGTTTTTTGTGGTTGTTGTTTTTAGATATACAGGTCAGAAGAGCACATTTGACATATTATAAACACATGGAGTAAAACTTATCCTAATTAAAATCCCATTCTCATGCTTGTGCCTGAGATAGAGGCTCACTGGTCATGTGTACATACATGAACATAGGAGAGTTATGTCCGATTCATTCTTCTGTCTTTCCTATTCTCATCCCCCTCCCTTCCCCTCATTTCCCTTTGTCTAATCCAGTGAACTTCTATTCTTCCCTTCCCCCTTATTGTGTGTTAGCATCTGCATATCAGAGAGAACATTTGGCCTTTGATTTTTGGGGACTGGCTTATTTCACTAAGCATGATATTCTCCAGTTCCATCCATTTACTGGGAAATGTCATGATTTCATTCTTCTTTATGGCTGAGTAATATTCCATTGAACACACTAGTTTTTGAGGTGACTGAGAGAATGAGGGTAGGGAAGAACACATATTGTGCTTTTTAATGGGTAACAGGTTAGAGTTCAGGGTTGGAAAGCAGGAAAAACACCCTTTGGATGACAGGTGGGTTAAGGTTCCAGGAAAGCATCTGTCCTTTTTTGTGGGGAGGGGAAGCTGACTGTCTCACCTTCACATGTGTCTCAGGGACACTTGAAGCCCTCCTCCAAAAACACAACTCCTTCTCTCACACTAAACTGGTGGGAACTTGAGATTACCCCCAAAGTATTTTAAGCAGGGCTGGCTGGAATCTGTGCCAACCAGCATTTGTGAGTGATCCCTCCAGCTGGGGACAAGAGTCAGAAAACAGAACAGGCTTAGAGCAGGTGACAGCAGCAGTGACCCTGGCAACCCACCCTGGCATGGCTCTAAGTATTGGACCATCCAAGTCTCCAATCAGGGGCAGGAAATTTAAGGAGCCCAATGGAGCTCACTCCTGAGGGCTGGGGAGCTGGAAGAGCTGGGTGAGGAGGTCCCTGAGACACTTCTGCAGTGGAAGGGACACTGAGGTAGGCGAAGCTTTCTGCAGGGCTCTGCTTGGCTCAGGAACATAAGGTACCTAGAGACTAAGAGAGGGGCCAGGGAGGCAGGAATGGACACATAATTACAGCCCAAGGGTTCCTCCATTTCTGACAACATGGACAGATGGGAAGATGCCATCACCTTAGAAAGGACTCATGCTGCAATCATCATTTGGTATGCTGGGTGGGTGAGAGGTGGTCAAGATTCTCAACCCACTTTTCCATCCTCCAGGAACCTTTGTATGGGTCCTCATCATCCCTGGCTCCTCCCAAATCATCAGCCATGATGTCCCGGAGTGTCCTGACACACACTCCTGCTCCAGGGTTGGCAAGGTGACTCAGCAGCTGGGAGCTGGGCTAGGTGCTGAGACCCCCTGGCTGTCTGCCTGGCCTTCCCCCTCTAACCCCTGAGTGTCCCTGGACAACTTCCCGGGCCTCTCACACCCCCAGGTGGAGAAACAATGGCTTCTCAAAGAAGCCACTGGAATGTGCTGTGGGGGGACCCCTGGGATCCCCCAGGGCTATACCCAGGCAGTTCAACCATAAATGCTGGAAAGACCTGGGATGAGCTTGGCCCAACTCCAAGACACTCTTCCTAAGCAGCAGGCTGTGCATCCATCCAGCCTTCTCTCCTGGGTCTTAGGTAACCCCTGTCCCCAAAGTCTTCTCTAGGCAACTGGGAGGTGCAGAAGGCAAGGCCTGCCCACTGGTGAGGCCCCAAAGCTTAGTGAACAAAGGACATTTACAAGTGAACGCAGGTGAAGGGAGGGGAGGCAGGTTCACACACACACACTTCCAGAAAGGAAGATCCTAGCAGATCCGACCGGAAGGGGGACCCGGGTGAGTGAGCTGCATGCCAATGGCACAGGCGTGCCCGGGGACAACGGTGATGCATCTTACGGTACCGCCACCGCCCTCATAAAAGCTTCAGTGTTGGCAAGGGGCGGCCACTGGCTGCATCCTTAAGTACAGGAATGGGAGAAGGCGGCAACGGTGTGTGCGTTCAACGCAGACTGAGGTTTTCCGCCCCGGGGACCCTCAGGGCCACTTCAGATGCACTAAGCTTGAGCAAGATCACACAGAACAGACGAGAAACCGGGCGCGCCGGCCAACTGCACGGGGTTGGCGGCTTCTCCATCCAGCCTTGCCTAGCGGCTCCTCGAACCGTTTTCCAATGCTCTTCTCCACCAGAAATAGTCCCCTACCCCTTTCCCTTCTCTGCCCGCACACTCTCCTTTCACCCCAAGAAAACGACGTTCGCGAGGAAGGTAAAGGTGAAACCCTTCAAAAAACTCGCGGGTCTCGGCCGAGCCCATGCGCATTGCGCAGGCGCCCGATAAGCCCCGCCCCTTCCGGGTAGACGACTCCCTGCCCCTCACCAACAGGGCCTCACCGGAAACAGCCCTTCCAGCCCGGCACGGCCGTCTCTGACGTCATAGGAAGGCGCCACCGGCAGAGGTTTCACGTGGACTCGGGTTTAGAAACTTTCAGGTTGGGCCATGGATACGCCGCTTAGGCGCAGCCGGAGGCTGGAGGGCCTAAAGCCCGAAGCCCCCGGGAGTCTCGCCTCAGTTTCGCGGGCGAGACGCGCCCTTGTGGAGGTCGAGTCGAACCCGGAAGAAACGAGGGAGCCCGGGTCTACTCTGAATGTGCAGCCACTCGGCCTGGAGTCTCCCCGACGTCAGCGGGAGACAAGCCCGGGATCACCCAGCCTGCCGCGGTGTGCAGACTTGGAGTCCCCGCGAAGACAGCCAGAATTGGGCCCAGAGTCCCCCCAGCATCGACAAGAGCCAGGCCTGGGGTCCCCCCGAAGGCAGCCGGAGCCGGGCCCAGAGTCCCCCCACCATCGGCAAGAGCCAGGCCTGGGGTCTCCCCGAAGGCAGCCGGATCCGGTCCCAGAGTCTCCCCAGCAACGGCAAGAGCCAGGCCTGGGGTCCCCCCGAAGACAGTCGGAGCCGGGCCCAGAGCCCCCCCAAACACAGCCGGAGCTGTGCCCAGAGTCCCCCCAGCATCAGCAAAAGCCAGGCCTGGAGTCACCTCCAAGACAGCCAGACTCGATTCCTGAATTCCATCAACCTCAGCCTAAGCCAAGTGAGGAATCACCGAATTTCCCCCAGGACCGAGGAGAACTGGACTCAGAGGTGGCCCAGTGTAAGGAGGAGCTGGCCCCGGGATCCCCCCCACATCAGCTGCAGCCAGGCGCAGGGTCACCAGAGCCTTACCCGGGTCAGCAAGCCCCGGGTCCGGAGCCCTCGCAACCACTACAGGAGCTGACGCCCAGGGCACCTGACTCCCCTGGGAACAAGGAGCCAAGCAAGCCACTTTCATCTAGAGAGAAGGTGACAGGCGGCCTCAGCCCAAAGAAGCGAAATGGATCTTCAATGCAGGCCCCAGCGTCCAAGAAGCTGAAGAAGGAGCAGGAGGAGCTTCCTGTAATCCCTAAGGGGAAGCCCAAATCCGGGAGAGTATGGAAGGACCGCTCCAAGAAGAGGTGAAATGGGGGACGGCATGGCAGGGATGGGGTTCTTTATGTGTTTGGGCCCTGCCTTTACCCCGGTGTAACCCTGAGGCCCAAAATTGAAAGGAGCTCTCTTCAGTGAGGGTGTCAACCAACAGGTGATCAAAGTCAGAATGTGATAAAAATGCTTGAGATCCCAGGAGGGTGAGACCAGGCCCTCAAAGGTCATTTTCATGGTTTCTTTCCTGGGGTCCTTATGGGTCTCCCCTACAGCAATCACCTAAGTCCCATATTCACTTAACAGACATTTCCCATTGTCCGCCATCTCCAATAGGGAGGCAGACGCAAGTAAACCAGCCATTACTTGATAAAAGCAGTGAGGTCTTCGCCCACTGTCATCTGTTACAGTTATTTGCGCTTAGGATTAAAAAAAAAAAATCACCAAGCCCTGATTATATAGAACAGTGTGCTTTTCCAAGGGGCTTGGCTGGGGAAGAGCCTTTCAAACACAGACATCCTGTCATGGCATTTAACCTGTACCTTGGTCCTATGGAGCGGGTGTCATTTTCACTCCTGTTTTATGTCTGTGGAAACTGAGGCTAAATGAGTCGTGAACAATCAGACAAGCTTTGAAGCTGGAGGATTGGAGAAGTGGCTGGTGGTACTGCCCCTCCTCCCTGTCTCAGAAGGTCTAGGAGAATGACAGGGGCCACTGATGGCCACACAGAACCAGATGAGGAGGTTGGTTGCAGTGGGAAGAGGGTGATGAGCAAGTCGAGCTTGAGGAACTGGGGTCCTGGCACTGGGGCCACCGCTGGGAGAGGGTGAGCTTACTGAGCAGGAGTGGGTGGGCCCAGTGGAGGGGAAAGAGAGGAGCAGGTAGAGCAGGGAAGGAGGTCATTGGCCCCAGCTGACTTCCATTACATGCTCAGGACACAATGCTCATCTCCATGTGGGAGAATGAAGTCTCAGAGGCCACCTCACCCAGGGTCACACAGGCAGTAAGCAGTGAACTCGGGGCTTGGCAGCTGGCCTGTCCTCCAGTGTCCAGGTAGGACCCATGCTCTGAAACTAGACTGACCCAACCCACAAGCCGTCAGCCACATATAACTATTTAAATTAAAGTTGAATGAAATCTACATTTACTTTCTTAACCCCAAGTGCAGCCCTGTGAGTGGAGGCTCCCATACTGGACTGCACAGGTGTGGAGCATTTCCCCCATCCCAGAAAGTTCCCCAAACACCACTGTGCCCTGTGGCTCTGGTGACTCCGGGACCCCCCCCCCGCCCCTTGTCCTTTCAGGATTCTCATACCCGAGTTTGGAAAGCCCAGCTTTAAGACCAGGGAGGAGGTCCAGGCAGTGCGCACTCTTTTTGTTTTTAGAGGGTGGGTCTAGAACAGCAGGCCCTAGGCGTGGGAGAGGGAACAGGAGAGGGTGTGCTGGGGCCAGAGGCTGGCACTGTGGTGGGAAGGGGCAGAACCAGGCTCTGCATGGAGGGGCCTGGAATCAAGTTCTGGGATACATGTGCCCGACTCTGTGGAAGGGGAGAGAATGGCCCAGAAGAACTGTATTGACCCTTCCCATGGACAGGAGTGGACTATGCCCAGCATGTACACGGGCCTTCAGAGGCTGGAACAGTTTGGGGCGTGCTACAGTGGACGTGGGGAAACAGGAACTCTTTCAGAAGACTTTGGTCAGGAAGCAGGAAGGCCACTGTGAGGCTCTGCAGAGGAGCCTTGGGGGTAAAAGGAAAAGTGCCAGTCAGTCTGTGGGACAGTGAATAGTGACAGGAGGAGGACTGAGCTGGGAGGCTCGCTTTGTTTTGCTTTTTATGATGGAAATTTTTGAGCACACAGACCTGGAGAGAGCATAGGGTCATGAGCCCCATGTTCCCATCGCCAGTTTTGACACTTCTCAGCGTTTCATTGGCCTCAGGACCTTTGTCCTGGGCAGTTTTCTCTCACTCTTTTCCCTAGAATGTTTCAAAGCCCATGAGCTCCCGCAGGACGCCTCCTTGGAGAGTGTTCATTTCTCCTATGACTCTTAAAAAAACATCGCCACTCTTCAGAAGTCCTGACTTCCTTGAAATCCCCTAATGCCCACTCCCTTCATGCATCCCAGCCAGGGGGAGAGGCACCTGCCCAGCCTCACCTTGGGAAGCAGGACGGCCACCCCCTGCTTAACTCGCTCAGGGAGTAAGCGCCCATCACTGCAGGTGTTCTCCCCTCGGCAAAAGAAGGCCCAGAGCCCAGAGTGAGGGCAGCGGGGCAGGAGTAGTCACCCCCACATCCCACAAGCCCCTGCTTAACCCTCCAGGTTCTCCCAGATGGTTCAGGACAAGCCCCTGCGCACATCCTGGCAGCGGAAGATGAAGGAGCGACAGGAGAGGAAACTGACCAAGGACTTTGCCCGGCACCTGCAGGAGGAGAAGGAGAAGCGCCGCCAGGTGGGAGGCCAGCCAGGCAAGGCTGCAGCTCTGGGGCTGAGCATGCCTGCCTCTGTAAGGCACGCGGGAGCCGGGCGAGGCCGACAGTCAGAGACCCTGAGCCCCAGGGCCCCCCTTTGGACCCCCAGGGTGGGGAAGTGCAATAAGTCATCCAGCTCAACCTGGGCCTGTGGGTCAAGGATGGGCAGGAGGCTCCAAAGTGGGGTGCAAGAGCCCAGAAAGAAATCCCAGGAGGCCCTCACCAGTGGTAGGAGCATCCAGTGAGATGTGATCAGTGTCCCTTCCCCAGGACCTGCTCATTTGGGAAAGGCCTACAGATTGGAAAATCTTGTCCCCAGTTTTGCAGCGTCACTTAAGAAGTGGCTTCCACACACCAGCACATGGACAGTCCCCACACCTGTCACTCATCCCAGAGCCAGGAATGTCCATTAGAGGCTCACACCTCACATCTTCAGTCTCCAGGCAGTAAAAGGTCCCAGCTTCACCCACATCACCAAGGCCTCTCCCCAGTAGGGGTGAAGAGGGCACTCAGCAGGCAGCATCCAGAAAAGCCAGGTGGTGGCTGCACTGGGCAGCAGTGCTGTCCCCCAGTACCAGAGTTATTGGGGATCCTGCCCATTGGGTGACCCCAGAGTGCAGGAGGAGCACTGATCCAGGGTTAGATAACTCACCCTACCTGTTGATTTGGCCCAGGTCAGCTTGTGGCATGGCCCTAGGGACAGAGTGGCTACCTCCATGTGCTGAGGTCTTACCTCACTTCCTGTGCAGCCCTGGCTCCCTCTTAAGCAAGATAGCTGCCTTCTTCTCAGCCCCAGCCCATACCTCCCCCGATACCACAGGAGCCCAAGTCTCACTTCTCCTTTCTCCCCAGGGGCCCAGGCCATCCTGTTACCCCAAGTTGACAAAGCCAAGAGAGGCATCTGACCATGCAGCAGCCTGGGAGCTGATGTCCCTTTCCTGGGCCTTCCAGGGGACCCTCTGCATAGTCAAGGGCATGGCTTAATTTCCAGGACAGACCCCATCTAGGTTGTGAGTGTCCCGACAGTAGGATGCTAAAACCTGCGTGTGCACTCGTCTGCTCACCTTGCAGGAGCAGGGTACTGTGACTGTCCTGCTTTCCATATGGGGGAGTTGAGGCATTTACCTGTTTAGCAGTTATCTGAGGCCACCTCACCCAGGGTCACACAGGCAGTAAGCAGTGAACTCGGGGCTTGGCAACTACAGCTGTCTTCCTCCAGTGTCCAGGTAGGACCCATGCTCTGGAACTAGACTGTCACAACCCCAGTAGCAGGCAAGATTCAAACCTGGGCCAGATCCCTCGGAGCCTCTTCTGGGCAGCTCAGCTCTCCCAGCCCCACCTCCTCCCTGGGGACACCAACAGAGCCCAGGCCTCACATTTTGTGGCACTTGGGCATCGGGGGAGAGGGAGACCCTGAGAAGGTGGGAATGGGGGATCCACCTCCCTCACAGTGATGAGCAGTTTGGTAAACAGCCTGTTCCAGGCATTTGCAAAGTTCCAGGGAGGGAGGCAGTCCTCCTGTCTAAGCCCTTTCTCACGGTCCGTCCAGGTACCCTCCTTCTAATGTGAGGGTCAGACTTTCCAGCACAGTGGGCACCTGGACGCCAGGCCCGTGGCACGAGTGTTGTTCTCCAGGCCCTCCCATTGGTGTCCAGGTTCCATGCTCACCACCAGAAGCAACACGGAGCCCAGATGGGAGTCCTTCCTCCACTTAATGGGAATTGACCAGCCCTCACTCTGCTGGGCCACCGTAGCTCCCAGCCTCAATTCCCTTGCCCGTGTGCCCCTGTGTGTTCCAGGAGAAGAAACAGCGCCGGGCTGAGAACCTGAGGCGACGCCTGGAAAACGAGCGGAAGGCTGAGGTGGTCCAAGTGGTAAGTGTCCCCTGGCCACTTGGCTGAGGCAGACATGGCTGGGCCAGGTGAGGCCTTGGAGCTGCCTTTCCCATGTCTGTTCCTGCTGTGATCCCAGACCCCTGCAGGGTGGCTTCCCTCTCCCACAGGGACAGGGAATCTCCTCCCAGCACACTAATGACTCTCCTCCCACCCCCAGATCCGAAACCCGGCCAAACTCAAGCGGGCAAAGAAGAAGCAGCTGCGCTCCATTCAGAAGCGGGACACGCTAGCCCTGCTGCAGAAACAGCCACCCCAGCGGCCAGCAGCCAAGGTCTGAACTCAGGACAGCCAAGGCCCTCCAGGACCAACAACCACATCAGACATGGCCATCTGGCCTCTCAGGTCACCAGTCAGACATCTCTGCTGGAGCCAGCACTCCAACTCTGTGGCCTCAAGACAGGGATTCCACCCTGGACAGGACTCTTGGGCTTTTGAGGGATCTTGGGCATGTCTCTGGGGGCAGAGCCTAGGGGAGGGAAGAGGTTCCAGTCCTCTCTCCTTCCCCATCCTCCAAAAACCTTCAGACTAAGAACAGTAAAGTCTGGTTTCTCATTGAGCTAGCAGTACGTGTCCTGTCTGAGGGTCTTGGGTCCAGCTCAGGCCTGGAGGCCAACCATCGGGAACCCAAGTCCCTTACACCTTCCCAGAGGCTGCTTTGGCTACTTCTGCACCCCACTAACTCTGTCCCCCAGCAAACTGAATCCAGCTCCTCCCCACTTGAACACTGAAGGTTTAAAATGGGGAGACTGCAGGAAGCAGAGTCAGTTTCTAGCAGCCCCTTTCCTATACCAGACTGCAGAAGTCCCACAGATCTAAGCCGTGCCCATCTGGTCTACAACAAAAGTATTTATTGAATACCTATGGTATACAGGTACAATTCTGGGCACCAAGGAATACAGACAAAAGTCCCTGCCCTCAGGAGCTTTTATTCTGATGGGAAAAACATAAGCAAATCAAGTGTGTGGTGTGTCTGGTGTGAAAAGTGCTGAGAAACAGCAGGAGCAGGAGGCCATACAGGGTGACATCTGGCTATCCAGTTTGCAGTGCACATGCTGTGGGCTGCCCTGCCTGGCACCCAGAATTAACAGCTGGCCACCCTGGTCCTTGGTGGCCCCAGCCTTCAGTGGTCAGGAGTAATGGACCAAGATCACAAGACTTTCTCATCCCTGCTCTTCCACTGATATTCCACAAACCAAACAAATATGTGCTGGCACCAGCTGTCAGTCCTTGGCGTGCAGCGCTGAGGCATTAGGGACCATGGAGTGGAAGTGCTACACAGGTACAAGCTGCCCCTCCTGTGCCCCCATGTGGGCAGGTGGCAGGTGCTGCAAAGACCTTGGGATTAACTGTCCAGAGGGCATCTTGTAGGATGCCAGTCCTGTGCAAGGCTCAGGATGCCATGGTCAAGTTCACTAGAAAATGTCATGTGCCGTGAATTGCTGTGTCCATTCAGATACCAAAGGCTAGACCTCCAATAACAATGCACAGTGACTTGGATTAGCCCAGGTTTCCCAAGCACTTGACCATGGCACCCCCGGGGCTCTTAAGTAGCTTGGGTAGGTCTTAGATGTGCTCTCAGAATAGGAATGGAGTGAACAGGGTGCAGACCCTGCACACAACACCGTTAAGCTCCCTGAACCCCAAGAAGCTAATCCTGAAGATTTGCAGAAGAAAGCATCTAGTTCAAACCTTGGCTGAGTACCTAACCTGAATGCCTTAATCTGGAATGGTGCTTCTCAAACCTTTCTCATTTTACTCCAAAAATTTGTACAACTTTCCTACCGTAGCCTTCCACAGTCACACAGCTGGTAAAATTGGGCTCCAGGGAGTTGTACCATTGGGACTCTGTCTGCTGGTCTAAGAAGTCATTATGAGTTTAGCTTCCTGTTACTCCAAGTGTGGTCCTTGGATCAGCAGCACTTAGTGACTGCCTGGGAAGTATTAGAGAAGCAGAATCTCCCGCACCCCGCCCCACCCACTGAAATAAACTAACAAGATCCCAAGGTGACTTATAGGCACGTCAAGGTTTGAGAAGCCCGGTTTCAACCAGGTCAGTTTCTGAAAAAAGTCACCCAGGTCGCTTCAAAACGCTGACTCTCAGCGCTCACGAGCCCTTGCGGTAGTCTTGACGCTTGATTCGAGCCTTGCCTCTGCCTTGGGGAGAAAGCAGGTCAGAGCCCTGCGTTCCGGGCTGCGCAGGCCATTGGGCTAATCCGAGGTGGTGCTCAGCGCCCGGTTCAGGGGTCCCCTTTCGTCTTGGGATCGTGCCCGGTCCCTCTGCGAAGGCGCTGCGTTGTTGCCTCGAAGCCAGCGGAGGAGGCGCTCCGGGCGGAGCGGGGGCGCGAGGCGGCCCGTGAGCGAGAGGGAGGAGGCCGAGGTGGCGGTGGAGGAGGCGCGACGGCGGCGGCTGCCCGCCCAGCCGCCCAGGTCGCTGTCGTCCACCAACACGCTCTCGAGCACTGTGCGCAACGAGCGCCGCAGCTTGCGCACCACGTCGGGGCAGGTGAGCACGTAGAGCAGCGGGTTGACCACGCTGTTGATAAAGGCCAGGCTGGTGACGAAGGGCAGCCCGCGCCACACAAGCGGCCGCAGCGTAGGGACTGCGTGCGCCCGCGCCTCCAGCAGGCAGAAGATGTGGTAGGGCCCCCAGCAGAGCACGAAGGCGGCCACGATGGCCGCCACCAAGCGCACGAAGCGACCCGGCCGCCGGCGGCCCCGGTGGCGAAGCTGCACGCTCACAGCCGCATGGCTTGAGGCGATGATGGCCAGCGGCACCACGAAGGCCAGCAGGAACTTGCTGACCGCCAGGGCGGTCTGGCGCGAGTCGCACGTGGCGTCGCGGTCAGGCCCGGGGTTCAGGAGCAGCACGTTGTAGTAGCACATGATGCGCCCGTCCAGCCGCGGGATGGTGTCCCGGAACACGAAGTAGGGCACGGTGTTGAACACAGCCAGGACCCAGAGCACCAGACAGACTTTGTGGGCCGCGGCCACCGTGCGGTGGTTCTGCGCCCACACCGGCCGCACCACCTGCAGACAGCGGTCCAGGCTGATGGCGCTGAGCAGGAAGCCGCTAGCAAACATGTTGAGGAAGAAGATAGAAGAGTGCAGTTTGCAGAAGGTGGTGCCCAGCTCCCATGAGTGTCCCACGGCCAGGAAGTAGGTGAAGAAGGGCAGGGAGGCAGCGGCCAACAGGTCAGACAGCGCCAGGTGCAGCACCCAGGTGGTGACCACCGTCTGTCGCATGCGACAGCCCACTACAAAGAGGATGAGTCCATTCTCCACCAGGCCCAGCAGCGAGGCCACCCCGTGCAGCAGCACAGACACGTGGTCGATTAAGCGGATGCTGGAGTTGGTGTGGCTCTGGAGTTGGCTCATCTGCTCCAAGAGCGGACAGAGTGGCTTCAGGGTGGTGTTGGCCAACATGGCGGAGCTCTGTGGTGGAGAAGGACACGCTGAGTCTGGCCGAGCTGGGACACCCTGGGAACCAGAGAGAGCCCTGGGAACCTTGCTAAGAGATAAGGTGACCTGCCAATGTGATAGGTGGGGCCACTGGGGACCAGTGACATTGAGCAAAGTTGGAGTGACCAACATCCCAGCTCCACCACCTGCTCCCTGTGGGACCTTGGGCAAGTCATTGAACTTTCCTGAGCCCGTTTCCTCCCCTGTAATGTGGGTGTTCCTCATAACTATCTCTAACTCATGGGCTATCAGAATAAAAATAAAATAAACTCATGAGTTAATATGCAAAAAGGCCTGGTCCACAGAACTGTGTTTAATGGAGGTCAGGCCGTGCAGAATTCCTTTTTGCTGCCCCAGAGCACTGGTGGATGGACACAGCCCCCATATGGTGCAGGAGCTTTGCAGCCACCTGGAGAGAGGGGGCGGGAGGAGGAGTCTCCACCAGCCCTCCCCAGCACCCCAGGCTTTGCCTCTGCAGGTCCTCCGGAGTCTGTTGGTCACACAGAGGTGGCTGGCTGGGTGTGTTGACCGCAAAAAGCAGAGCTGGCCCCTCCTCTGATAGTAGGAAAGGAAATGAGATAAGAAGAGAGAGAGCTGGGCACAAGGACCCACCCGATGGCCCCGGGGTACCAAACAAACCCTCCTCCTAGGGGCAGCCATAGCAATGCTACCAATCCCAGGAAACCCACCCCTGTTCATTTTCTCACTCACCCACACACCCCCCAGCAGCTATTTATCCAGTCACTACCCCGCGCTGGAGAAGCCAGAATCTGACAGACACAGCACACAGCCACACATGCTCACAGCCTCAGAGAATCCCAGAGCCCTCCGGTGAAGACTCGGGTGAAGCTGATGGAGATCGAGGAGGGTTGACTTGGGGTGGAGGCTCCCTGCTGTGGAGAGGGGACAGAGCAGGGCATGGGAGCTCAGGTTGCGCTGGGCACTCATGACACGCCAGGGACCCTGGAAGGTCCTTTGCATAGGTGCTCATCTTTCTCATGGCTCTGAGAGAAAGGTGCTAGGCTCTGTCCCTGCCACTTTCCAGATGAGGAAACTGAGACAGGAGTGTTTGAAGAACTCACCAATTCACCCAAGCAGCACAGCCACACAGAGGAGCAACAGTGTGGCACTAAGCCAGGGACGATGGAGGAAAGAAGAGAAAGACAGGAGCAATGGCCTTCAGTGCTCCTCTTCCCAGCCCAACACCTGGCCGGCTAGGATGGCAGAGGGTGAGAAAATCCACTCCCTCCAGGGATCCTGCTCTTTGCAGGTTGGGCTCCTGGGATCCACACTAGACTTTCCCTGGGAGATGGGTCCCTTGAAGCTGAGCTCTGCAGGTGGGTGGGAGGGGAGCTGGCCTGTGTCCCCTGAGAATGGTGCTGCTTCCCAAGCTTTCTAGTTTGCAGTTACCTCCCAATAACCCCATGAGACCCCATTTTGCAGAGAAGCGTGGCTTCTCTGTCCTCGGCTGCAGCAGGGGCTGGGACTCTCCTCCCAGCACACCAGGTGCATGCCATCCCCTCTCAGCCCTAATGTTTGCCTGAGTCCCATGGGATGCTCGGAGAGCACAGTCCTGCTGGACCCTCTGGAGCCATCTACCTGGGTCCCTCTGGCTGCATGGAGACAGCCCCCATCCTCCGTCCCAGCAGCTGGGGTCCTGGGGTGCAGGGGCCCAAGAACACAAGTTTGGGGAGTCCAAGTCCTGGGCTTGATTCCAGGCTCCTTGGCTTCCAGGCTGGGCAAACCTGGGCAGTTACCTCAAGCCTGCTGGTGCCATCTTCCCCCAGGTCAACGACTGCCACTGTGCCTGGCCTCTAGTTAACGCCTGAGAAAGCTGACTCCTTCCACCCTCTGAGCAGCAAGTTCCCTCCCGCCTGGTAAACTCACTCCTCTGCCATCCTGTCCGGTAGCAGCCCTCTGTTCTGGTAAAATTCTGCCCTCTCCTGTGGGTCCAGAGAGGGCACTAAGGCTGCCCAGCCCTGGACCGTGGCCTCCTTACCTGGGCACAGAGGGAGCACAGGATTCCAGCCCTGCAGGCACTTGGCTCCTAGCAGCAGCCAGACAGAGGCGTGGGGCAGGCGGAGGGAGGGGAGGAGTGAGGCTGAGGGAGGAAACAGCTGTCAGCTCCAGTGTGTGTGCGCGCACGTGTGTGTGCGTGTGCTTGTGTGTCTGTCTGGGGGCGGGAGGCAGTGACAGCCAGAGATTGAGCTCTCACGCTGGTGATCGAGAACCATTCATCCATCTGCCAGCAGCCCCTGCTCCACCGAGTCCTTTATGGAGGAGTCTTTGCAGCCCAAGGACACTGCGAGTGTGCACGGGGCCATCCCTGTGTGCAGCAAAGTGGGGGCTTGGTATGTCCAGGGGTGTGCTTTGGAGTGACCAGCGTGCAGGAGGATGAGGACTATGCCTTGCCCTGCTTTCCACCCTCCTTGGACCGCTCTCTTCTGACACCATAGTCCTCAGAGAGGAAGGTCCCCAAGTGGCATGGGTGCCTGTGCACCAGGGACCCCAGGAAAGCAGGGGGATAGGAGGAGCGTGGGAGGCCTGGCCACCAGCGCTGGCCCCACACTCACAGCCAGAGGCCGGTCACTTCCCCTTGCTGAGCCCCGCGTTGTCATCTGTGAGCAGGACCAGTGTCTGCTTTGAGGCAGAGGCGAGGGCTGGCCGAGGGGAGTCAGGGGGCTCCGCCACTGACCCATCCCCAGCCCTTTTTTGTATTTTTTTAGAGGAGAGAGTAAGTGCTCGAAAAAATTAGCTTCTTCCCCCGCTGGGGGAGAAATGGGCATAGGCTAGAGGCCAAGGCTGTCCGGGTTTCATTTAGAATAGGCTGGAAGCCCTGGGGTAAGAGAACTTTGAATCCTGTAGTTTGCACTTCATCGTTCCCTAACCTCACACTCTGCTTAGCTTTTGGGGGTCAGACTCCCTTTCTTCACAGCAGCCCGCAGATACTCAATAAAACATGTCAAGACCGAGTCAGGACAGAGGGCAGGGTGTCCCACTGAGGCCTGGGCTGGCGCACAGCCTGGGTGCTTGACAGGGTGGACGGTGGGTAAGCAGGACAGCACTTCTCCCAGCCCCGATGGTGAAGCAACGGGGACCTTGCTCATCCGGCCTCTGCCCTGGGCCAGGGAGGCTTGGACTTCCAAACACAGATGCCTGCAGCCTCCCGAGAAACAGGTGGCTGTTTCCACCCATCCTGGGGAAGTGCCCCCATCCCTGCCCCCCCACTGATCCATGAGAAGGCCATTCAGGCAGGGCGCATGGTGGTGAGGCCCCAGGACCCTGCAGCCAGACCGCCAGTGTCTGCATCTGGCACTGCCTCTTCCTAGCTATGTGACGAGGCGAGGAGCTTCAGGCGGTATGATGTGCATCTGGGGGTCAGCGGGGGCGGAGGGGATACCCGAGATGAACTTGGGGCGCTCCACCGCTGAGCCACATCCCCAGCCCTTTTTTGTATTTTATTTAGAGACAGGGTCCCACTGAGACTTCGCACCTCGCTTTTGCTGAGGCTGGCTTTGAATTCGTGATCCTCCAGCCTCAGCCTCCTGAGCCATTGGAATTACAGGCGTGCGCCACCGCACCCGCAAGATGTGAATTTTAAAAGGTACTCCTTCTGCGTAGTACCAGCCCCGAGTGCTGGGGTTGGAGCACAGGCTGCTCTGTGGAATAAGAAATGCCTGGGGCATCAGGCTTGACATGAGGCACAGGCCTCTCTCTGGATCTCAGCCATCTCCTGACTCCTCCAACCAGTCACCCTTGTGCAGTGAACATCCCGCACCACCTCTCATGGCAGCCCCTTTGTTCATTTCCAGCTAAAATCTTTATTCCTCTGAAACTTCTCTGTTCTTGTTTCCAATCCTGGAATCATTGTCATGGCTTGGTTCCCAGCCCTCCCTGAGGACAACTTATTCTAAACAAACAAAAAAGTTACTAAATTCTACTAGTTACTAAAATAAGTAAACAAACAAACAAAAAGATATTACATGTGAGCAGGGCCCTGAGTCATTTTCTGAAGAAAAAAAGGGCGTGCACCCTGTTCTTCATGTCCCAAGGGGCTTTGGGGCCCTTGGCTGCACTCCCATGGTGGAAATGGTCCCGGCACACACACTGAGAGCCCTGAGCCCCACAGCAACTACCCATTGGGTGGGTAGGAGACAGAAGTCGGCCTCTTCCCCTGGGGTTTCAGGAACCAAAAGCCAACACCAGTCAGTCCAAGAGGAAGAGTCTCCGAGGGTGTTGGAGCAGTGGGGGTGCTGGGTGGGGGTTCACTGGCTGGGTGTAAAGGACAGATGGCTCCGAGTGACCAGGGGACACACATTCAGCCTGAGTCTAGGAGAAAAGGCATTCAGAGGCTCAATGGAGCCACGGATGCGTCAGGCCTTCACTGGGGGCAGGAGGCCACCAAGACTGTTAGATGGGTCCTCACATGGAGTCCCGGGAGGGTGACCAGGCCTTGGCAGACTCCTGACAGCACAGACCTTGATTTCCCATGGCACAGGACCCCCTGAGGGCCTCAGTTGCTGGGCCTCTGACCCAGGCCTCTGACCCCGCAGGTCCAGGTGGAGCCGGGAATTTGCACTTCTGTCCCATTCCCTGGGGAAGCCGCTGCTGCTAGGCCAGAGTCCACCCCGAGACGGAACCTCTGAGCCAGTTCCCAGTCACACGAAGGCTGAGGAGGGGGTCGCAAGTTCTAGGCCAGCCTGAAGTGAGACCCTGTCTCCAAATAAGAGATAAAAGGGCTGGAGGTGTCACCTGGTGGCAGGGCACCTGCCTAAGCAGGCACAAGGCCCCGGCCCAATCCCAGGACTGCAGAAGGACACAAAAGGCCAGACCTGGACGAGGTCTCGGGGGTCCTTGGGCCTGGTGCCCTGACGGCAGGGGACTGGTCAGACAGCCCCCTTAGCCGAGGGCCTGGGAGCCAGCGCCCCTCTGAGGCTGCGCCCCCACAGGAGGATGGGGTGATAAGGAGAAGGCACTCAGCCCCCAGCCGGGCAGAGTGCGGGGCGAGTACGAGTTCCTGGAATTGTCTGAGGGGTGTGCTTTGGGGACATCGTGGGCTTGGCCAGCCAGAGCTGCCCTGGGGGTTATAGGTCAGGGGGCAGGAAGCTGGTCAGCCAGGGCCTCAGGCCCAGGAAGCCTTCTGACCCAAGCAGGGGCCGGGCTGGGCCCACGAGCCACAGTCACCAGGCTTCTGTGAGCAGCTGGGCACCAGGGCTGGGGGCCAGGTCCTCAGCCCCACCACACCCTGCCCTGCCCTGTGTCCAGCTCCCTCAGAGCTGGAGAAAGGCGCAGCCGCCTCCAGGGCCCTGCAGTCCCCCCCCCCCCCAGGCCAGAGCCTGAAGTCACAGTAAGAGCAGAGGCCGGGCATCCTGCTAGGGCACCAGCTCCCCCCGCAGGAGACGGCTCGCAGACCTGGGCTCCACAGCCAGGCTCCCCAGTCCCCTGGCCCCGCTCCCGCACAGCCCCCTGCGCCCTCCCCCCACCTCACCTGCCCAGCCCCTCCCCCACCTCACCTGCCCAGCCCCTCCCCCACCTCACCTGCCCAGCCCCTCCCCCACCTCACCTGCCCAGCCCCTCTCCCCCCAGGCCTTTGCCAGGCTGCCCTGGAAAGCCTTCACACTCAGTCTCACACACACACACATACTTACACACACACACACACGCACTCTCACACACACACATACTTACACATACACATGCATGTATGCACTCACAAACTTGCAAACACACAATCACACATACGTGCACTCACACGCACTCACGCACACTCACACATATGCACACGCACACACTCACCTTCATGCACACACTCCGCACACACAAACTTGTTAACACAATCACACACTCTCACACTCACACTATTCTCATTCTCACATAACACACATAAAATCACACACTAATACACTCACATACTAATACACATGCTCACACTCATGCACACTTGCTCACACACATATACTCACATATGCTCATACATCCACACTCACACACAATCACATCCACCTATACAACTTTCACACACACACAATTGCTATCACACACAAACACCAACACACTTTTACACTAGTACATATGCTCTCACACACATGGACCATCACACACTTACAAATATACACACTTAGATATATGCATGCACAGCCACACTCACACACTTGTATTCTCACACACTAGTACGCACACTGTTCACACACAGTCATGCACATGACCACACATACGACACACTCTCACACATTCATTCACATGCTGACACATACACTTGCTCACACACAACTCAACAAAATCACACCAGCACTCACACACATCACACTCCCACACCATCTCACACTAACACACGTGCACTCACACACACCTTGCTGGTCCTGCAGGCTCCTTCTGAGACCGCCGTGTCTGGGCCCAGGAGGGGCGCTCGGCACCAGTGCGTCTCGTGCACACAGAGGCCACGACAGGACCGTCCAGGGGCCAGCTGTGCTGCCCGGCCCTGCCCTAGGAATCGAGGATTTCAGTTCCTCTCTGGCCCCTTGGAGAAGTCAGTCAAGGAGGAAGTGAGGCACAGGGCAGGAAGCAGCCAGGAACCTGGCACCCACCAGCCCCAGTGCCGGAGTCCTCAGGTGCCCACACCCAGCCGAGCAGCAGCCCCACAGGACCCCACAGGATATCTTGTGGGGGCCCAAGTGGGTTCCCTGATGCCAACCTCAGCCACAGGAAGCCTGCCTCCTCACACGACCCGCCAGCCCCTCCTGGGCCCCCACCTGCATCGCTGCTGCTGCGTCACCCCCAGCGCTCACCACCGCACGCCTGCTGGGCCTGCGCGCCCTTCTGCTGCTTGCTCCCTGCTCTGGAATCTCGGTCCTTCCCTTGGCCTCTTGGTGAACTCCTATGCATCCTTCAAAACCCTAACCACGGAAGCTTTGCCGATTGTCTCAGGAAGACCTTACCTCTCGCTCCACCCTCCCACGTCTCTAAGTCACCGTGTCTGCGGCCACCCTTGCCCTCTGGAGGCCCCTTTCACCAGCTGCTCTCACCCTCTTGATGAGCAGCAGACATCCTTCCTATTTTATCTCCTTTTCTCCAAGGCCAAGCAGAGGGCCTGCCTATGGGAGGGTCCACGTGCAGACCCCACGGCCCCAGGTCCTCAGAGCAGTGCTGGCTGCGCCCCGTGCTCCCCAGGGCCTGGAGCAGCTCTGTGGCTGTCTTCACCCGCGCAGGCCACAGCCCAGAGCTGATGTCTTAACGGTAGGAAGGGAGAGCAGAGGCAGAGCGCCGGGCAGGCCCTGGGCTCAGTCTCAGGTGGGTGTGCTCCAGGGCCAGACGGCCTCCGGAGCTCTAGGGAGGGTTCTGCCTCCATCAGGTGGCTCCAGTCCCGGCTTCCCGGTCTCCCCTGTTTCTCATAAGACACTTGTCATTGGATTTAGGGCCTACCCGGACAATCCAGGGTGACCTCATCTTGAGATCCTTAACTCGTTTATATCTGTAAAGCCCTTTAATTTTTCTTCCCAAATAAGGTCCCAGTCAGGGGTTCCTGGGTTAGGGAGTGGGCATATGTTTTTGAGGGTCACCATGGAACCCACTACAGATAGTCAGGCTAACGTTGAGAGGCATTGTGCCAGCCCCGCGAAGCACTTGTCGTACACTAGCGAGTTTTACCCCCACACTTACCCTCTGAGGCAGATACTGTTCTTGTCCCCACTTGCAGAGGAGAAGACTAAGGCTCAGAGAGGTTAGGTAACTTGGCCTAAGCTGCTCAGCCAGTGAGCAGAGGAGCTGGATTTCAGAGCCAGGTGTTCCAGCCCCAGCGCCCAGCTCATCCCAGCTGACTGCATTTCTCTGAGGTTCTTTGTATCCTGCAGGAGAAGCAGAGCTGCCTTTGATGTTCAGTGTGCACCCCCAGCCTTCCGGAAACATCTCTGCCACGGGCAAGATCTGCGTGGTGCGCAGTTGGGACTTCGCTGGTCACTCTGCAGGCCACTGAGCTAAGTGACCTGTTCCCTGCCTGGGCCTCCCCTGGTGCCCTCCCTTTGTCCCTAGGTGGGGCTGAGAGGACACAGTGGGCACTGACACTTAAACCTCCCAGCATCATCATTCTTAGTCCCGTGTTTCAGATTAAGAGACTGAAGTCCTGCTTTTAAAAATTAAAAGAATTAGGTTTAAAAGGAAAGTGGAATAAACAGGCTGAGATTTAGGAAGCGACTCAGGGAGGAATATCAGCAACCTTAAGTTAGATACTGCCACTAGCCCCAAGGAAAGCATGTCACAGAGCAGGTGACATTCAACGTCTCCGGCAGGTGAGTGGAGGAGCTGGGATCCCTCCCAGACCCAGGGGGTCTGGCACCCATGAGTGTCCTCAGTGCCCTCTCCAGGATAGTGTAGTGTCATTTCCTCAAAGGCCTCTGAGTGGGTCAGCTTTGCATCCATTATGACAAAATGCCTGAGAAAGTCTCCTATGAGGAGGGAAGACTTATTTTGGCTCCTGGCTTCAGAGGTTTCAGTCCAAGTTGGTTGGCTCCATTGTCTTGGGTCTGTGACGAGGCAGAACACTGCAGTGGGGACCCATGTGGAGGGAAGCTGCTCACATATGCAGCCAGGAAGCAGAGGGAGTGAGGGAGGGGCCAGGGTCCAGCCTCTGTCCAAGGGCACGCCCCCAGTGACCTCACTTCCTCCCCTAGGCCCTGCCTCCTGAAGGCTCAGCCCCGCCCATGCTGCAAGCTGACAGTCAAGCCTTCAGCACGTGGCCTCTGAGGACCATTTAAGATCCAAACCACAGCAGCATCTTCCTACCCCTGGCCATGAGCCAGCTGCCCATTTCCAGGGCCTTGGGAGACGTGCTGTCCATGGACCCGAGGTCAGTTAGGCGACACCTCTCTCATTCCCTAATTCCTTCCCACCATCACTACTCTCCTCTGTATCTTCAAACAACAGGCAAGTGACTCCCAGGGCACTGTGCTCGTAAGCAAGGGACACAGGTCTCTGTGCCTGACATCCCAGCGCGGGACCTCCCTCCACAACACCCAGTTCACAGGGGTGGAAGGAGGGATGGGGCCAGAGATGCCACTTGACAACCAGCACACTGGCCAGTGAATGTTCAGTAAGGAGCAGGAAAATCACAGGGTCACAACGTGTCTCCCATAGGACACTCTTAAATTACAGAGACATCAGGACGTCAGCACAGGGAACCTGGACACCCACTGCCTTAACCTGTGGCCAGAGTTTCAGCACACACTGGTGTGAGGTCCCTCCTGAGGACATTCTGAGGAGGACACAACATTGCTTTGGAGTGTTCTGCCCATTGTAGACCCTATTGTGTCCCCCAAATTCATAAATTGAAGCCCTAATCCCCTCCCGCAGAATGCGACTCTATTTGGAGAAAGGGCCTTTAAAGAGTTCATTAAAGAGGCCACAAGGGTGACTGGTGTCCTTAAAGAAGAAGTCTGGATGCACCAGGAGCCACAGCATGTGCACAAGCAGAGAGAGACCATGTGAGGTCACAACCAGAGAAACAGGCCTCAGAGATTCCAGACCTTCCGATGCCTTGACGGTGGATTTCCAGCCTCCAGAACCGTGAGAAGATAACTACCTGCTGTTTGAGCTGCCCGACTGCGGGGTCTGTTATGGAGCCCTCGCTAGCCAAGACACTGCCCAATGCACCTCCTGAATCTACACAGGCAAACACCAGCAAACCCAAACGGAGAGCCGTCCCGCAGAACGGTCAAAAATGTCAAGTGGGAAAGACAAAGGAGACGCTGGGGCGGAGGGAGGTCGGCCCCAGATCAGAGGAGGCAGAAGAGACTCTTGAGCCTGGATCAGATCCCAAACCAGGACAAAACTTCTCCTTTGCTATAAAAGTCATTGTCAGAACATTGCTGGAGGTTGAGCTGGGTTTGTAAGTTAGACAACTGAGTTTATGCCCCCGCTGATTTCCTGATTTGGACAGTGTCACTGTGGTTACTCACGGTTTTGGGGGTGTGGGGAAGCACACTAAAGTAATTAGGGGTAAAAGGGAAGCCAGCTCTCAAATGCTATGGAAGAAAGTGTGTGTGTGTGTGTGCGTGTGTGTATGCACGTGCCCGTGCGCACAAACAGGCAGGAAGAAAGAGGAAGTTGGAACAAATGGAAAAAGCATCCAAGAAATCTTTTCTAAGTTAAAAAGTATAAAGTTCAACATGAAAAGTTTAAAAACCCACTATCCTTCCAGAAAAGCCCCCTGGGGCCTTGCCTCCTCCCCTCCCCCCACACCTTTCCTTCAAGCTCCCCCCCCACCCCCCCCCTTTTTTTTTTTTTTTTTTTTTTTTTGCTAAAAACAATTTTTATTTGTTAATTTGCTCCTTAGGAAATGTACAAACATAAAATAAACAAGCATTAGCCAAAGGTATTAGAGGAAAATTGAGACCGATGCATACATTTTATCAAACTAGAATTCTTTTTTTTTTTTTTTTTTTTTTTTTTTTGCTGTTGTTGTTCTAATTGGTTATACGTGACAGTAGACTGCGTTTTGACACATCATACATAAATGGCACACAGCTTCTCCTTGGTCTGGTTGTGCTTGGTGTAGAGTTCCACAGGTCATGTAATCCCAGATGCACACGGGGTAATAATGACCGACTCATTCCTACCCCATGCCCCTCCCCTTCCTTCACTCCCCTCTGTCAAGTCCAGATACCTCTGTGTCCCCCGTATTGCGAATTAGCACCCGCATGTCAGAGGGAACACTTGGTCCTTTGGGATTGCAAGCTCCCCCTCTTGAAGCCCTGTCTGCTGACCTCTGTCTCCCGCTGGCCCCAAACTCCCCACCACTCAGGAACCCACTGGCTCCTTCCATCCCTTCTCAGGGCCCTTCCTCCAAAAACACTTCCATAACCCTACTCCACCCCACCCCGGTTGGCGCCTCTCCTGACTCTGCCCTCAGAGCTATCCACCAAGCTCTCCCAGCTGGGCTCCGGTCCCAGGAAGCGCTCATCACTGCCAAACAGTGAATGATTGACACACAATTTAGCACACCCATCGTGGGTCTCTTCCAGGCTTCTCGTCCACCCTGCAAGGTAAGCATTGCCGCCTACGATCATCAGCCTCAAAGCTCAGAAAACACAAAGCAGCCCAGGTCACAGGTAGAACTGCAGGGGACAGGAACCAGGCTTTGGGGCATGAGCCACAAGCTCCTCCAGCTGCTGCGAATTCCAATGACCCACAGTTGCTGGCATTTGCTGCGTTCAGACTCTGCTGGGCCCTGGGCTCAATGCTCCGTCAATTAGTGCCCTGAAGTCCCTCAAAGGAGGAGGCCGTGTAATGAGCGGCACCCGCGAGGCGACAGGGCGGAGCCTGGCATGTAGTGAACTCTGTAACGCGATGGCCATTCCTGGGGTGGTTGTAATAGACCATTCCTTAGAACTGTTCTGATTAACAGAAAAACTGAGAAGACAGTGCAGAGCGCATCTGAGGACCCCACGCCCAGTTTTCCCTATAAGTAGCATCTTACATGATTTCAGCACATTTGTTACAATTAATTAAACCTTTGTGAATCCGTCTTGATTCACTCATTCTATATTAGTGCAGGTTGAGTAGCCTCATCCCAAATACTCGGAACCAGAGTGTTTCAATTTAGGGAATTTTTTTGGATCTTGGAATATCTGCATATTTATATTAAGATATCTCGGGGAGAGAATGCAATAGTAAACACAAAATTCATTCATTTTTCATACATATCTTATGTACGTAGCCTGAAGACTATTTCAAACGTGCCTGTGTTTCGACTGTGACCATCACATAATACTGAGGGTAGAATCTTCCACTAGTGTTTTATGTCAGCACTTAAAAAGAGTATTTCAGATTTTGGATTTTTAGATTAAGATGTTCAACAGAAGCAGGGTGCAGTGGCACACACCTGTAATCTCAGTGGCTTGGGAGGCTAAGGTAGGAGGATCGTGAGTTCAAAGCCAGCTCAGCAACAGCAAGGCGCTAAGCAACTCAGTGAGACTGTCTAAATAAAATACTAAATAAGGCTGGCGATGTGGCTCAGGTGCCAAGTGCGCCTGAGTTCAATCCCTGGTCCCCACCCCCAAAGAAAAAAAAAAAAGATGCTCATCAGAAACGGCCTTCAATTAACTGGCTTAATCCTGGTTAGGCCATGAAGAGCTTGTCACAGAGGACGCACCTGTGGCCCCTATTGGCCGTGAGCTCCTGGGGCAAGGCCCTCTCCCTGTGGGTCTAGCTGAAGGTGGGGAGGAAAATAATGGGGGCTTCTCTTCCCCTCAGTCCTGAGGTCCCCGTGCAGGCAGGAGGCCCTGGGGGGCTGTCTGGGCTGGAAGGGGATGGTGAGGGGCTTGGGAGGGAGACAGGCCCCAGGTCTTCAGGGCACCTCCCAGCCATGGATGCTGACCCTTAGCCCACCTGCAGCCTTGTCTTTTCTAGAAAGCCCCTCCTCCAGCCCTGGGCAGCTACAACCACTCTAGGAGCAGCTGCTTAGAGACTTCTGAACCAGGGAGTCTGGCCAAGGACCGCCTTCTGAGCAGCCCCTGAGGGCCCTGGCTGGGAGGGCGCTCTCCTCTGCTTTGGGGCAGGAATTTCTCCACTGCCCCTGCGGGCCAGGTGGGCCCCCTTTGTCCTCAAAGGCTGCCACTTGCCGCCTCCCCCATATAAGTCCTCCCCTGCTCTAGTGGCAGAGCAGTGGGGGCTGCTGGAGAGGTCTGTGCGTACCTGACTGCGACCTGACTGCGACCTGACTGCGGGAGCTTCCACCATGACCGGGCGTTTCTATGGCATCTTGCTACTACTGGCCGCAGCCACCCTGGGGCTGGGTCAGGGGCCGTTCCCCAAGCTCAGCCTCCCAGGCCTGTGGCACAGCTATGACTGTGGGATCCGGGGCATGCAGCTGCGCGTCGTTCCAAGGCCAGGCCAGACAATCCGCTTCAAGGTGCTGGGTGAGTGCTGGGAGAACCCTGGTCCCCTTCCCCGCCCGGGCTGCTGCTGCTAGGAGGACCCTTCCCCTGGAGCCAGGCTGGAAGAGCAGAGGCATCCCTCCCAATAGGGGTGACCAGCCCCCCACACATAAAGGTGGGCAAGGGAGGGGGGTCACCTCCCCCTGGTCACCAGCCACTTCTCCCTCGTCACTGTGCACAGGTATCACCTGGCATCTTGTTGAGGCAGCCCTAGCCTCTGCATTTCTAACCACAGACAGTTGAGGCCAGGTAGCTGGTCCACAAATCACTCTCTGGGTACAGTCTAGTATGGAGAAAAGGGGGTGCAGCCTTGGAATGGAGATTTACACAAGCAGCTTCTAGGCTGTGTGCTCTCGGGCCCTGACAGACCTCCGTGAGCCTCGTCTGCAAGGTGGGGAAGAACTCGGCCTTGCCAGGCGCACTGAACGAGAACACTGGAGGCACCCACTCTGGAAGGTGGGCGTCCCCAGGTGATTGTGGCAGCCATTCTACATGGCAAACGGCTCAGTCCTTTCTACAAACACACCCAGCGCTGGAGTCCTCATCCTGCCCCCAATGCGTGTGCCTGAGAAAGCTGGCGCTCGGCCACCTTGTCCACAGTGTGGATAACTGAGCCCACAGGAAGTGAAGTTCTCAGCCCACCGCCTGAGACCCGGATCCTCTCGGCACCGTCTCCGTGCCTGCTGCTGGGTGCTACCGCCAGAGAACCCCAGCTGGAAAGGCTCTGTGCCCTTCCAGACATGGGAACCCAGACCAGCGGAGGCAGAGGCTTGTCCAAGACCAGGCTGGTCCTGCGTGGGCCCCAGCAGCCACCCTTTAGCACCCTGAAGCTCTCCCTACCTCTTCCCTTTCCCCCACCTCAGACGAATTTGGGAACCGGTTTGAAGTGAATAACTGCTCCGTCTGCTACCACTGGGTCACCTCCACGCCCCAGGAGCTGGCCGTCTTCTCAGCCGACTACAGAGGCTGCCACGTGCTGGAGAAGGTAGGCCGCCTGGCTGCTCTGGGCCACCAAGCTTGTCCTAAGGACCCTGCCTCTCCTGGGCCAGGGGAGACCAGACCCCAAGAAAGGTCGGGGAGCCCTGGGTGGGGAGGTGGGTGGGGAGATCATTTCCTGGGTGCAGGTCTTCCCAGGACCCCGCATCTGACCCAGCTCCCTGCCCCGCCGTCGGCTCAGCCCTTGCCGACCCCTCGTCCGCTGCCTGGTCTGGCTGCTCTTGCCCAGCTGCTCTGTGGCCCTCTCACCTGCAGGACGGGCGGTTCCACCTGAGGGTCTTCATAGAAGCTGTGCTGCCAGATGGTCATGTGGATATCGCCCAAGAGGCCACTCTGATCTGTCCTAAACCTGACCACACCTGGACTCCGGACTCCAGCCTGGTGGTGCCCACCACACCCTCACCTTCCACCCCTCATCTGCTTCCCCTCCGCCCCACCTCCAGCCACCCCTCGCCTGGCTCTGGCTACGCCTTGCCCACCCCATCGTACCCAGAACACAGTTTCGTCCATCTGACTGCTGCTCCGCTGTCCTTCGGACCAGGGCCTATCGGCCCCACCCTGGCGCGGCCTCAGCGGGGCACCACGGACCCCTGGGAAGTGGACGGGCCTGACTACATTGGTGTGTAGGACAAGCCCTCTGGACCATGGGAGGCCTAACAGCCTCTGGCTGGGCTCTCATCACTGTCCCCAACCCTAGGTGCCCACCTGCCGCAGGAGCAGTGCCAGGTGGTCTCTGGGCACATCCCCTGCGTGGTGAGAAACAGCTCCAGGGAAGCCTGTCATCAGGCTGGCTGCTGCTATGACGACACCAGGGAAGTGCCCTGTTACTATGGCAACACAGGTACAACCCCACCCCCCCCGCGGCACTGACCTGCTCTCCTGGACTCTGTGCCCGCAGGAGAGGCGCCTCTGCTATCTGCTGCTCCACCTCAGTGGATGGCAGAGACCCTTCGGTGAAGGATGACACATCCTACCTGCCTTCTGACAATTGTCCCCAAAGCACACCCCTGACCTTTAGATTCAAAACATCCTGGTTTGGATAACTAATCCTTTGACCTTACTTCAAGGGTCCACCTCCACCCTTTTGTGGATGAGAAATGGGTCGATAGAGGATTCACTCAGGACAGCACCGGCCTAAATGGGGACAGTACAGGGCCCAGGTCTTCCTGGCTCCCAGGCCAGTGCTGAAGCATTCTCCTCCCAGCTCATTCCCCTGTCTCTGTGCTGGGTGGATCCTAGCCCAAGGCCCTGATCAGCCTCTGGGGTCTCTCTGTTCCAGCCACCATCCAGTGTTTCAGAAGTGGCTACTTCATCCTGGTCATTTCTCAAGAAACGGCCTTGGCACGCAGGATCACATTGGCCAACATCCACCTGGCTTATGCCCCTGCCAGCTGCCCCCCAACCCAGGAGACGAGTGCTTTCGTGGTCTTCCGAGTTCCGCTCACACACTGCGGCACCACGGTCCAGGTAGAGGGGAGAACATGGGCGGGAGCCATCTCGCCCCCGGGAGGGCCTCACTCGCTTTCTCCTCCCCAGGCAGTTGGCAATCAGCTCATCTATGAGAACCAGCTGGTGTCTGACCTTGACATCCAGAAGGGACCCCAGGGTTCCATCACTCGGGACAGCACTTTCCGGTGAGAGGGAGCCCTCCTTGAACAGGCCAGGCCTTGGGTGTGGGTGTGAGGGAGCTAAGGCAAGCCCAGGACGGGCTTTGGGGACAGCTGCGTCAAATTCAGGCTCTATTACCTCGGTCATGTGGCTTTAGATGAGATGCTCACCTCTTGGGCCTGTCCTACAGGGCAGGGGGAATGGCCCTTCCCCAGGGCTGACCAAGCGTTAAGGGCCTCGTCTGTGCCTGGCATATGGGACTCGGACAGAAGCCAAGGGCAGTTCCTGAGAGTCCTGCTTTTACCCCTCTAAGAACTAAGCTCAGTGCCTGAAGGTATCCCCTGCTGGGCCCCAGGAAGGGGCTGAGGCTGCTGCCACCTGCTAATCTCAGGTTAAAAAGCCACAGATGAGGCAGATACCTCCAGCTGAAGTTCTCTAAGGATGTGGTAGAGGAAGGAAATGGGGGAACAGCCTCCAGGGCCTCCCGGACGTGCTGGCTCAGGTAGCCCAACCATCCCAGGATGCCAGTAGGGTGACCAAGAAGGCAATCTGTCATGCCCAGCTTTGAACCTCCACTGCTACTCACTGTGTGACCACGGTAGGCCATACACCAGCCCCAGCCTGGTCCCTGCTGGAGAACTGATCTTAACTATGGGTTGTAGGAATTCTGTGCTTGGCACCATGTGGATGCCCAAGTATCCCCTTCTCTCCCTGCCGTACCTTCCAAGAAGGTTGGGCAAGAAACTGGTGTCAGGGCCCAGGTGTCTTTTGCTTGAAGCAGAGTCCTTCTGGCCCAGGAGGTGGGGAGAGAAGTTCCTGTCATCCTGTGGACACTTGAACTTGGGTGCTATTCCAATAAGTCAGAATTCAGCACAGTAATCGGGGATTCCCAGAGGAAAAACAGCTGTCACCCCTCAAGACTAAGCAGGAGGGCCCCTAAGACACAAGGCCAGACAGTGCGAGGGGCCTTCAGAACAGGGTGGAGTCACTATGGCTACACAGCACCTACCTGGTGCCAGGTGCAGGCCCATCCGCAGTGGGGATGAAGGACCACCATGGCATGTGGGCACTAGACACTGTGACAGGCCAACCACAGCTGCAGGTTCAAGCAAGACGCCGATGCTCTCCTGTTCTCACTGAGGACTTATGGCCCCAGTCCTCGCCAGAGCCCTCAGAGGGCAGCCACTGGAGCTTGGGTTAAACCACTTCCTCATGGTTCTGTCGCTAATAAGTTGCGAGCCCAGATCTCCCCACCAGGCCCAAGTGTCGGGCTCCAAAGGCCTCAAATGCCACCAGGAGCCAGCCCCAGAAGGCCCTGTTGTCATCTTGATCCTATCCTAGAGTAGGGCCTGGATCCAGCTGTCCCAGAAAGGCCAGGTGGGCAGGGCCGAGCTTCCTCTGCCCACTGGTCAGCACTGCCCATATCCCTGTGCTTGGAGTGTCCATCCTCTGCCCTGTGTGTTGTGACCACAGTGTTGGTACCCTGTTGAGGCCAACGGGACTCTGACTTGTCTTCTCCCCACCTTCTCGCACTCGACGCCAGGCTTCACGTCCGCTGTCTCTTCAACGCTGGTGACTTCTTACCCATCCAGGCATCCATCTCCCCGCCCCCGTCGCCTGCCCCTGTGACTCAGTCGGGCCCCCTGCGGCTGGAGCTGCGAATTGCCAAGGGTACGGTATCCCCGCTGCTTTCTCTTCCTGCTCCCAGTTTCCTGAGGCGCAGCCCCTCTCCCTACAGACCAGCCCCTCTCCCTACAGACAAGACCTTCAGCTCCTACTACGGGGAGGATGACTACCCCCTGGTGAGGCTGCTCCGAGAACCAGTCCACGTGGAGGTCCAGCTTCTGCAGAGGACAGACCCCGGTCTGGTCCTGGTACTGCACCAGTGCTGGGCCACGCCTAGTGCCAACCCCTTCCAGCAGCCCCAGTGGCCCATCCTGTCGGACGGGTGAGTGACAGCAGGTGACTGAGTTGCCCCGGGCTCCCTCCCAGCTTGCCTCACCTCCCAGAGACCCTCCTGACTTCTCTCCCTCCCAGGTGTCCTTTCGAGGGTGACAGCTACAGAACCCAAATGGTATCCTTGGACAAGGCAGAGCTGCCCTTCCGGTCTCATTACCAGCGTTTCATGGTCGCCACCTTTGCTTTCCTGGACTTTAGCTCCCAGAGAGCCCTCAGGGGCCTGGTAAGAAGGACCCAAGTTCCTCATCTGAATTGGGGATAAGCTGGTCTCCAAATGTCCCCAGCACCCTGTAAATGGATGCCCTTCACCCTGGCCCAGGATGGCGGTTGGCTTTCACCAAGTGTGGCAGACAGCAGGGGACACGGGGTTCTGATCTTAGGTCAGTGCAGAAGCCACTGACAAATAGTTCCAGAAGGAAGAAGGGAAATGCCCAGCTGGGCTGCAGTCGGCTCTGAATCTGAGCTGGCCACAGTGTGCTAGCACGGCCTCGCTTCCGATTCCAGAAACGGCAGCATGTTCCCCGAGTTTCTTATAACTCGGCAACTTCTCTAGAAGGCAAAAGTGGATAAGCATAGACTGTTTAGATTTGCTGAATATTAATATACAAATGGCACCAAAAGCAGCACACTACTCTCCAACTCTTGGGCCGTTGCACAACACATCTGTCACAGAATGCACAGAGTGCTTTACATCACTGCCTCTTACTACAGCAGACGCACATGAATCCCTCTGGTAGGCGCACTTGGCAGGCTGCCTTCTCGTCTCGCCAGCGTGCAACCTCCTGAGCCAAGAGACGCTCCCATGCTAGATGAGGGGCACCCATAGGTGGGGCCTATAGGCACGAGGTCAGGTCATTTCCTGCCTCTACTCCTCTTGGGTGTTTCCCCCTGACCCTGTTTCTGGAAACGGTAACTGGTCATCCCCTGTGTTCCCAGTTACTAGTCTCTGGGGTCAGGAAGACGGGATGGCAAATGTGTTCTCCAGCTGTCTGGTCAAACCCCACCTCAGAATCCCCTTTGGAAGGGAGCCATCCAGCCCTATAGCCGTTCAGCACCAGAGGCGGGGTGGCGGGGTGGCGGAGTGGCCGAGGGCTGGGGCTCCACCAAATAGCGCAGTGGTCCCTGCCTGGGGGGCCCTCTACTGCAGTCTTGGGCCCTCGGGAGAAAGGCCTGGACCCCAACTGGGGAAGCAACACATCCCTGAGCCTCGTGGGCACAGGGCAGCGGTTGTGCTCAGCACACCCAGATTTCTCTGGCAGCAGCATAAACTTGGCCCCACACCCAATGCCACCTCCTGCTTGGCACTTCCTGCCCAGTGGCCCTGAAGCCTTGACGTCTCTCTCCTCCCACCAGGTCTACTTCTTCTGCAGCGCCTCTGCCTGCTACCCCTCGAGGCTGCAGCCATGCTCCCCCACGTGTGCCTCGGGGACTGCAAGTGAGTCCAGGGGAAGGGGCGAGTTCTTTAATCCGACCCCAGGCCTGTGTCTGACGCTGAGCCCTGAGGAGCTAGAGTCCAACCCGTGGTATGGCTCTTTCCCCGGGCAGGACAGCGACGATCCTCAGGTTACCACAACAGCACCACCAGGCCCGTGGACATCGTAAGCTCTCCAGGACCCATTGGCTTCCGGGACTCTTATGGATGGAGGACCACAGGTACCAGGGCTTGTGGTGGGTCCTCGGGCCCGGACCCCCTGAAATGCTGACAAAACAGGGAAGCTCTGGCCCTAGAGAAGGCAGGACGTGGTGTAACACCACTCAGTGAGGAAATAGCCACGCTCACCCTGGGCCCCTTATCTGTGAAAGGCAGCTTCAGTAGTGGTGGCAGAGGCGTGGGATTGCCAAGGTCAAGGAAGGTCAGCGTGGAAGAGTGGTGGGTGGGGCCAGCCCCACACTCCTTGCCGTCACCTCTCTAGCAGGCTCCAGCAGGAACTCCAACCCAAGGCCACTCCTCTGGGTCCTCCTCTACTGCTGGCTGCTGCGTCTGTGGGCCTGAGGGGGGCCTGGGCTCAGAGTCTGAGAGGCACCCAATAAACCATTGTTTCAAACCTACCGAAGGCTGGTGCGAAGTGACTCACGAAATCTAGAACAGAATTGTTGTCGAGGAAACCTGTTCCTTAGTGTCAGCTGTCACAGAGGTCACAATTTTGAAAGTCGGGGGCATTGCATAATGATTCAGTCAACGACAGACCACATAGATGGGGTCCCATAAGATACCAGAGCTGAAAAATTCTTTTGGGGGAAAGGGGGGATGATGCTGGGAATTGAACTTGGGCACTTGACCCCTGAGCCACATCCCCAGCCCTATGTTGAATTTACAGACAGGGGCTCACCTTAGCACTTTGCTTTTGCTGAGGCTGGCTTTGAACTCACGATCCTCCTACCTCAGCCTCCCAAGCCACACCCTGTTACTCCAGCTGCAGCCTGGTGTTTCTCCAAGTTTACTAAGGCTCCTGAGAGCATCAAGGAGCCATGTGCAGCAATTGACCTGCCCCAACTAGGTGTATACACTACACCATTCATGTTCACGATACTGTGAAACCACCTAATGACATAGTTCTGGAGTGTATCCCGTGGTTAACCACCTCATGACAACACTTAGTAGACACTGCCCAGGGTATGGAATATTGTCTCCCAGGCCTGAATTTAGGGGACTCTGCCCCCCTGCAAGGAGAGGTGGCATTCCAGAGACGATATCACAAGCAAAGTTACAGGAAGATCAAAAGGTGGAGTCCAAACAGCGGATCTGGGACTGGGAAACCTGGAGGAAACTGACGGCCACGAGACTTGTCCGCTGCCCCCAGGAGTTCTGACTGGGGCATCCTCAGAGCACCTGTGTAGCTGTCCCCCAGGGTAAGGGGATGCCGGAGCTCCCTCTGTCTACCAGCCTGGCACAAAGGGACGCTGGGCTACGCTGCTGACCACTAACCTCTGTCCCACTCCTGTGGCCTCCCAACTCCCTTTGGGCCCTGCCACCTGGACACAGCCACCAGACAGGTCAGCTCCATGCTGACTACGCTGCCAACCCCCTTCCCTGTGCATAACTTGGGCCTTTATCCTACTTTGCAGCAAAGACCCCCTGAGACTGACAGGTAGACTGAACCTGGAAAGGGGGAGTGGCTGGGGAGGGTGTGGGTTCAGGCTAGGGCATAGGGAGAAGAATCTGGTAGCAAAGGCTGAAGAGGCTTTGGGGGGCCTCTGGTAGCACGTGTGCTTAGAGTTGGCACAAAGGGAACTCCAGTGCTCAAGTCGGGCAGTGGCCTTGGTTCTACGCAGGCCTTCCACCTCAGGCTGGCTCTGGCCTACCTGATCTTTTTCATCTTCAGGGTCATGGTCGGGCATATGGATTCCAAGCCAGGCCACCTGAGTAACAGCTTTGCTTCCTACCAGCTGTGTGATATGAAGTGCATTACGGAACTTCTGAGTCCATCTTCTGTAAAATGGAGACAATACCTATCCCCGCAGGAATATTGGATGAAATGAGTTAAAAAGAATGCTCAGAACAGTGTGTAACAGCCAACATGTACTGAGTGCTATTAGCTACTAACTAGAACTACTTCCTGACCCCAAGCTAAGGCTCACCTAGTCCCCCCCCCACACACCCCTTATAGGAGAACAGGTTTGCTTGCCAAGAAGAGGAGGCGCTGGGAAACTGCAGCCTTCGGGCTTTTCTGGCAGTGTCAGCAGAACAGGGACACACTGAGGACCAGAAAGCCAGGCACCTGCCTCGGAAATTAGGTAACTTCATTCTCTGGACTTGTCTTCCCAGCTGGGGAATAGCGCCAGCCAGTCCTGCCCTGCCAGCTTCCCTCTTGTACAGGAGGGCCTAGGACATACTCTACAGGGTCAGTGTGGAAGTAGTGAGGGTTTGGGCTCGTTTGCCTGGAGGAGCCTGGCTGCCAGGGTTCTGGTGCCATCAGCATCTGCTCCTTCTTCCTCCCCGTCATCCAACAGGCCTCTACAGAATTTCAATCAGCACAGGAAGCTGGATTGAGGAATGGCACTGAGGTTCTGTTTAAACAAAGCATTGTTCTATAGTGCCAACTGGAGTCAAACTGACTTAACCTTTTTAAAACAAGAGTAAATATCTTGCATCATTTCCAATCATAGTTTTTTAGTGTGTGGGGGGGCTACTGGGGATTGAATCCATAGGCACTTAACCACTGAACCACATCCCCAGCCTTTTTTTATATTTTATTTACAGACAGGGTCTCTTGGGCTGGGATTGTAGCTCAGTGGTACTGGGTTCGATCCTCAGCACCACACTAAAAATAGAGACAGGGTTTCACTGAATTGCTTAGGACCTTGCTAAGTTGCTAAGGCTGGCTTTGAACATGAGACCCTCCTGCCCCAGCCACCCACCTCCCCAAGCCACTGGGATTACAAGCATATGCCACAGCACCTGGCTTCCTATCATTTTTAATAGATGTTTTCCCTAAATGATGGTTTAACTTTGACATATCTGATCTCCTTTTGAAAGAAACCAAACCTACGGTTGGGTAACAAGTGGTAATGCAATGATATAAACTCACAATCTTCGTATACTTTTTTCCTCAGAAGAAATTCATTGATGGAACTGTTGGGTCTAGGGTTGTGGCTCAGTAGCAGAGCACTTGCCTAGCATGTGTGAGGCACTGGGTTCAATTCTCAGCACCACATATAAATAAATGAATAAAAATAAAAGTCCAACATCTAAAAAAAAAAAAAAACCCCATTAAAAGCACACCCTTAAGACTGCAGGGCTCTGGGGTTGTGTGGGTGGCTGCTCCCCCACAGACCAATATCACTCTAAATCTTTGCCTATCTGAGCAGCAGAAAGCAAATAGCATTGCTATCTTAAAATGGAGCTCTGATAAAGAAGTTAAGCCACTGTATCTTACAAATTGCTCTTTTATCATGTTCTGTCTTTCCTTCCTAGCCTGTAAAGAGCATTCACGAATCAAGGAGGTAACATCTTATTCTTACTAAGTTTCGACTGATTGGCCATTGCTCTTGTTTTTCCCAGTTCTAGGGACTGAACCAGGGCCTTGTATACACCAGGCGTGTGCTCTACCACTGAGCTTCCTCCCCAGCCCCACAGGCTTTTCTTTGTGGGATTCTTCCTTTCATCTTACTGAGAGGATTATCTAACAGTGAATTTCTTTCCCTCGTATCTGTATCTTTGAATATAGCAAAGACCTTCCCCTAACTTAAAGAATCATAAAAGTATTCATTATCTTTGTTGTGATTCTCCTGTGACAGTGCAGTTGTTTTCTACTTTCAAGTGTGTGGAGGAGATACATAATTTTTTGGCAGGTAACTTTGTAATTGATATTTAAATTATGAATAGGTTTTGTCAACACCTCTGTACCAGGATTTACAGAAAGACAGGAAATCTGTGTGGCACTAGGTTCCCTGTGCTCTTGCTGAAGGGAGGCAATCTAAGCTGACTTTCCTAGATATCAAAATCCGGGCGGGGTGTGGTGGCGCACCTGTAAGCCCAGCAACCTGGGAAGTTAGGGCAAGAGGATGGCAAATTAGAGACCAGCCTGGGCAAAAAACAACACAACAGCCAGACCCTGTTGCAATAGAAAATGACAAGTGCTGGGGAGGTAGCTCAGAGGTAGAGCACCCCTGGGTTCGATCCCTAGTACTGGGAAGAAAAATAAAATCTGAATCTCCAACTTAAAACTTTGTTCACCTCCCTGTTACCATCTCTGGAGGGAGCATGCATCTGGGCCTTGGGACAAGCTGTCAGACCTGATGCGGAGGACAGCAAACTGCTTTTGCTGACTTGTGGCAGGGAGCAGAGCTGCTCATGGAAGCTCATTTTCTTTTCTTTCTTCTTCCTGACTTTTGGGCCACAGCTAAGTGAGACTAGAGTAGACCCCTATTTCTCCTCCCCCACCTCTGACTCCCACATATGTACACAACTCTGCATTAGGATCAAACTGATGTCATCAAAGGTGCTTTGTCTTAAATAGAGAATGCTTCACAATCTGTTGCTCAACTTCAATAAAAATGAACTCCTTGAAGCCTGGTGCGGGTGGTGCAGGCTGTAGTCCTAGTGGCTCAGGAGGCTGAGGCAGGAGGGTCATGAGTTCAAAGCCAGCCTCAGCAACAGGGAGGCACTAAAGCAACTCAGTGAGACCCTGTCCCTAAAATACAAAATAGGGCTGGGGGTGTGGCTCAGTGGTCGAGTGCCCCTGAGTTCAATCCCTAGTACCCTCCAGAATTAACTCCTGGCAGCACAGCTCCATGGCCAGGCCCCACTTCTGTTCCAGCAGCAGGGCTAGACCGATGTTCTGACGCAAACCCTAAAATGCCAGATTGTAAACATTTTAAAACGCGTCTAAACCATTGTGAACTAACATGAGAAAACAGAAAGAAAAAAAAAAAAAGGCATGCAGACAGGACAAAAATAAAAGCAAGAACCCTGGGAAGTAAAACCAGTTTCTATTTTGGGAATTTCTACAGAATCCTAGAGACCTTAACCTTCTGGCTCCTTGAGTGAAGGAGCCTGCAAATTAGGCCTGGAGCCTGCCAAAGGCTGGGGAGTCCAGATGCAGGCTCCTGGGGAAGCTGGGACTCCAGAGGGCTCAGTGCAAGAGCGAATAGGGGGCAGCGAGGAATCACCTGTCTTGATCTTGGTGCTGATGAATTTAAAAACACCAGGCAAATTAGAAGTACAATTCCCCTTCCCTGCTTGTACAGTCCAATTCACACACTGAAGGGGAAAGGAGGTAGGAGAACCCTCAGAGGTTCACTCTGAAAAAAAGACCTCAACAACTAATTTAAAGCAATTCCAGGGTGATCATTAAAGTAATCCCCAGCTTCAGGCAGAAGCCAATCCAAACCCCACCTGAAAGGATGTCATTTCAGCCAGACTCAAAACATTCTTTCAGATGAAATTAGAATCAAATGAACACCTTAGAAATCGCAGAGTGCTAAATGAGCCAGAAGACAGTTGCAACACGTTATTGACAATGGGCTGCCATCCAAAACAGGTATTGTTTTTAAATGCTACAAATCAGTAAGGAAAAAAACAAAGAAATAGGCAAAGG